ACGAGGAGACCCGGGGCGTGCTCAAGGTGTTCCTGGAGAACGTGGTGCGCGATGCGGTGACCTACACCGAGCACGCCCGCCGCAAGACCGTCACCGCCTTTGACGTGGTGTACGCGCTCAAGCGCCAGGGCCGCACCCTGTACGGCTTCGGCGCGTAAGCGATCCTGGGTCCCAAGCCTCACAAGCAACCCACCCAAACAACAAACTGGTGTTATTCAACACCACCCACCCACACGGAAACAGTCACGCACGTTGCGATGTTGGGAAGAGGGGTTGGGGCTGGTGGGTGTGGGGGGCTGGCTGCCTTCTGCTGCTGATGCCCTTTTGCCAGCCTGCCTTGAGGAGAGCCTGCCGCTGCCTGGCCTGGCGCCTGCCTCTTGGGTGCGGGAGGTCTGTGGCGGCGCTGGGTGGGTGTGCCTCTTCCCCTCCCCGAGCCCGGCAGCAAGCGAGGCAGGCCTGCCCGCACAGGCACACACACGAGGGCACCAGCAAGGCCAGAGAGGCAGCCAGCAGGGCACAGCCAGGCGGGCAGGGGCCAGCTGGCGGTCGGGCGTTCCTCCTTGCTGGCTTGTGGCTGGCTGGTCTGCCTTCTCTCGGTGTCCCTTCTGGCCTGCCTGCCCTGGTTGGCTCGGTGTGCCCCCCAGCAGCGACCACCCGCCAAGGCAGCATCGCCCCACCAACACAAAGCAGCGACAGCGCACGCCCAACACGGCAAGGCAGCGAGCGGTTTCCAAGCAAGGTGGTGTTGAATAACACCAGTTGGTTTGTTTGTTGTTGTCTTGAAGTTGAGACAAGGGCAGCTCAGGCGCTTCAGGCCTCAGCCTTCTTGCCACTCTTCTTGGGCAGCAGCACGGAGTGGATGTTGGGCAGCACGCCGCCCTCGGCGATGGTCACGCCCGCCAGCAGCTTGCTCAGCTCCTCGTCGTTGCGCACAGCCAGCTGGATGTGGCGGGGGATGATGCGGGTCTTCTTGTTGTCACGGGCGGCGTTGCCGGCCAGCTCCAGCACCTCGGCCGCCAGGTACTCCAGCACGGCGGCCAGGTACACGGGGGCGCCGGCACCGATGCGCTCGGCGTACCGCCCCTTCTTCAGGTAGCGGGCGATGCGGCCCACGGGGAACTGCAGGCCCGCCTTGGAGCTCTTGCTCACGGCCTTCTTGCCGGAGGTCTTGCCCTTGCCTCGGCCAGACATGGTGGTTGGGTTGTGGGGTGTCGGGGGGTGAGGGGAGGAGGGGGAGTGGGTGGCTGGGCGGCGGCAGGGCCCGCTTTTGTATGCGGGGAGGCTGGGAACTGTGTGCAGGCGCCACCCACCCGGGGACCACACCCCTGCGCCAGGTGCCTGTCGCCATGCGTCGGCCCCCGGCTTGGGGGAGACCCTCGAGGGGAAACCTACATCAGGCCGCCTGCATGTCCTCCCAGCCACCCACTCTCCTGTTTCTCACCCCCACAACCACCCAGCACCATGGCCCCCACCTCCGGCAAGAAGCCCGCCCCGGCCAAGAAGGCCGCCAAGGCCCCCAAGGAGGGCAAGAAGGGCAAGAAGACGAAGAAGGGCACTGAGAGCTACAAGCTCTACATCTTCAAGGTGCTCAAGCAGGTGCACCCCGACACCGGCATCTCCTCCAAGTCCATGGCCATCCTCAACTCCTTCATCGCCGACCAGTTTGAGAAGATTGCCACCGCCGCCGCCCAGCTGTCCCGCGTCAACAAGAAGCCCACCCTGACCTCCCGCGAGATCCAGACTGCCGTGCGCCTGGTGCTGCCCGGCGAGCTGGCCAAGCACGCCGTGTCTGAGGGCACCAAGGCCGTGACCAAGTTCACCTCCGCCTAAGCGCATGGCGCCGCCCGCAACCCCCCAAACCCACACATAAAAACAAAACTGGTGTTATTCAACACCACCACCGCTCACTGGGAATCAATGCACTTGCTTGAGGGAGAAGGGCAGCCAGTGGAGGGGTGTGTGTTGGCGGCAGCGTGCCTGCTCCCCTTCCCGGGCAGGCGGCGCAAGGGGGGCAGCCCGCGCAAAGGACAGGGCAGCCAGGGGTGGTGTACGAGGGAGCAGTCCTGTGCACGGCTTGGCCTGGTGGCTGGCTGGCCTGTGCGCAGCGCCGCTGCTCTGCTCCACGGCTGACGTTGGGCTGCGGGGCTGGCTTGCGGCATCAGAGTGGCCACGGAGATGGGGGAGATGAGAGCGGCAAAGAGGGAAGGGAGCTGTGCGCAAAAGGCTTGCATCGCTGTTGCTTGGAGCTTGCCGTGCGCAAGGGGCATGGCAGCAGCGCTGTTGCCCTCGCTGGCAGCCCGATCCTCTTGCCTGGCCGCAGTGGAACGCTTGGGAGGCGAAGCTGGCTGGCATGGTGGGACAATGCGTTCCCTTTGCAATCAGCCATTGTGTGTTTACAAACAAGGAAGCAAACAGAACGGGCAGCGCTGCCTTGTCGGTTCACTCCAGCAGCCTCGCCGCCTGCAGCCCCAGCACCAGGCTGCGCACGGTCACGCTCGGGAGCAGCACCAGGTTCGCCAGCGGCAGATTGGTCAGCGGGGAGCGTGGCCTGCCGCTGCCTGGCGCGCCATCCAGGCTGCAGGGCAGGCAGAGAGGGAGGCAAAGGGGTGGGCTGGAAGGGCTGCCAGCAGACAAGAGGGAACGTGGCATCACGAAACACTCCGCTGGGCACAGGCGTGCGCTGGATGCTGCTGCGCTCCCTCCACCCCCACACACCCACCTTCGATGGCGGGCTCTCTCGTAGGTGCGCCCATCTGCCGCCACTACGGGGTCACGCATCGGCTCCTGGGTGATGGGGCACAGCAGCTCGCTGAGCAGGCCAGGGGGCAGGCTGGCAGCGGCAGGAAGAGAGGCCTGGCCTGCGGGCGCAGCGCCCGGGGCGGGGCTGGCTGGCGCTGGTGCCTCTTCTGCTGCTGCCGCGCTCGTGGCTGGCAGTGGATCGCTGCCGGCAGCGCAAGGGGGGCTCTCCCCTGCTGCCTGCACCCCCAAACGCTGCAGCAGCTGCGCCAGCTCGGCACCGTCGTCGGCACCGCTGCTGCCTCCAGCCGCTGACGCTGCTGCTTCTGCTGGTGCCCCTTCAGCTCCCCCGGTAATGGTGGCACCAGCGCTTCCAGCGGCTGCCTGCGCGTGTGGTTGGGCTGCCGCCGTCTGCCCTCCTCCCTTGTTCTTCTTCTTCTTGCTCTTCTTCCTGCCGCTGCCCTGCTGGCTGCCAGTAGCAGCAGCAGGCGTGGCGGGCGTAGCTGGGCAGGCGGCTGAGGTGAGCTGCTCTGCCGGCTCCACGCTTGGCTGGCGTGGACGTGCCTGCAGCTGCCTCCGCCGCCTTTTCTGCCTGCTCAGAAGCCGGCGCTGGCAGCGCAGCCTGTGCTGCAGCAGTCTCGCACGCCTCTCCTGCCGGCACAGCAGCGCGCTGGCGCTGCCGTTCCTTCTGGCGCTGCCGCTTGGCGGCCTTGGCCGCCTGCCTCGCCGCCTGCTGCTCCCTCTCGCGCTCCTCCTCTGCCAGCAGCTGGCCGGCCGCAGCCTCAGCTGCAGCGGCGGCCACAGCCATGGAGGCTGGAGCAGTCCCTGGGGCTTCAGCCTGCTCCCGGCGTGGGGCCCTGCTGCTGGGGGCACCTCGATGCCGCCTTCCCGCCTGCTGCTGCTCCAGCTTCAACAGCAGCTGTGCTGCTTCCCGCTGTTTATGCTTGATTGCACGCATGCGAGGGGTGAGGCCTTCCTCATCCCACAGCGCCATGCTCGCCCCTGCTGCAACCAGGCAGCGAATGGCTGGCAGGCGGCCGCGTTCTGCTGCGCAGTGCAGGGCTGTCCGCTGGTGGCTGTCGGCTGCCTCAATGTCGGCACGGCCAGCGATCAACAGGCTGAGGCATGCCGTGTGCCCACGCTCCGCTGCAAAATGCAGGGCCCTCAGCCCATCATTGCAAGCCGCCTCAATGTTTGCCCCCGCTGCCAGCAGTGCCTGCACATATGCCTCATGGCCCTTGTACAGTGCTTGATGCAGAGCTGTAGTGCCCTCCTCAGTGCTGGTCGCCTCGGTGTAGGCGCCAGCTGCCAGCAAGACTCGCAGGCAATCTGTGCTGCCCAGGATTGCTGCGCTGTGAAGCAGCGTCTGGCCGTCGCGGTCCCTGTCGGTGAGTAGGCTGGGCTGCTGGCTGAGTGCTGCCTGCAGACGGTGCACGTCGTTGCAATCCACTGCTGAAGCGACTTCATCAAATATAATCATCTGCAGGAAGAGGCGGCCGTGTGGTGTGAGCGGCAGCGTCGAGGAGCGGCGGCTGAGGAGCGGGCCGCCCGCCCACCGCAACGGCAGCAGCCAGCTTGCCTCGTGCGCGCTTCCAATGATGTGCCAGGTGCCTGCTGAGCCCGGGGCAGCAGCCAGCAGGAGGGAGAGCAGACGCCGCAGTCTCGTGACGTTAAACGTAGGTCAAGCTTGGCTGAGGCTTCCACTGCCGCGTTGCGGCTGCCGCGCTGAGAGGGCGGCACAGAGTCTGCACACGTGCAAGCCCCTCCCGAATGATTCCTTCCTCCACACTGGGGCTCATGCACACTGTAAAGCGCCAATGGATGCCCCACCCTTCATCCACCCAGGCGGCCGAAACAAGTGCCTGGGTGCGCCGCCGCCCACACCCGGCCCCTGAGGCTCCCCAGCGGCGGACGCCCATTCGGCATTCACAGGGACGGCGGCCACACAAGAGCAAGTTCAGGGCACGCCTCTGCCGACCCTCTGGCCTGCACTCAGCAGTCAGGGCGGGGCAGCGCATGGGGGTGGGCTGTCGGCATGCACCGCCACACCACCGGTAGCAAGCAGCACTTGACACCAGCCACCGCCACAGCAAACAAGCGGCAGCAGCACCAGCAGCGTCGGCAGCAGGGGTTGCAGCCTCCGCTTGCCTGGGCCCTTGATCCACCAGGCTGCCGCCCACTTGATGTCTTTGGCCTGCCAGGTGAAGAATCCTGACTTGGGTACCGCCTGCAGGGAGAGGAGACGGCATGGGAAACAGGGGAGGGAACAACTCTCAAGGCAGGGTGCTCGGCGGCGAGAGGGCAGAGCCGGCGCTGCACCGGGAGCATGAGCAGCCACGGGCGCCGGCAGCAGCTGCCGGCAGCCGCCGCCCAGGCAGCCCCTCAGCCGGCACCCCAGCACGTAGGCGCACGCAGCCAGCACGTGCGCCCTGCGCTTCAGGAGGCACAGAGCGGGGATCACCTGCAGGCGCAGCGGCGACAGGATGGCGCGCTCTGCTCTAAATTCATCCACGGCTGCACGGCAGCCTGCATAGCTGCCATAGTCATCCACCTGCACAGAGGGCAGCAGCGGGGTGGGGCTCAGCGGCAGGAGCGGTGGTGGCAGGGCGGGGCGGGGCGCAGGCCGCCCTCGGGCTGCTCCCAGCAAGCAACCGGGCCAGGTCAGCTGCGGTCCGGCCGGCGGCCCGCCCCGCGCGAGCGCCGGGCAGCCGCCACGGCGCAGCCGGGCGGCTGGCGCGAGGCCGGCCAGCCCGCCACGCACGTAGATGAGCCCCCCGGGGGACAGCTTGTCGTAGAGAGCCTCCAGAGCATCCCGGGTGGAGGCGTACAGGTCTCCATCCAGGCGCAGAAAGGAGATGGCGGGTATGGGCGCTGCCGCCAGCGTTTCGTTGAACCAGCCCGGCAGGATGCGGAGGCGGTGGGCGGGGGTGGGCACGCGGAAGCGGGCCAGGTTGGCGCGGAAGGTGGGCAGGGAGGAGGCGTACTCTCCGGCCACGCCGCGGCGCAGGCCGCCGCCCGAGGCCGCCGCCCCGGCGCCGTCGTGGACCTCGTCGGGCGCGGGGGTGCCCTGGAAGGAGTCGGCGGCCCACAGGCGGCGCCCTCCGCCGCCATCAAAGCGCTCCAGGGCTTTGAGGAGCAGGATGGAGGTGCCTCCCTGGAAGACCCCCGTCTCCACAAAGTCGCCAGGCACGCTCCCCAGCAGCGCGGCCAGCGCCAGCTGGAGCGTCAGCAGGCGGCGCAGCGGCGACACGAGCGTGGGCACCCGCAGGCGGCTGGTGTTGTACGCCCACTCCAGAGCCTCGGGCGGCAGCGAGAAGGGCGTGACGCCGTCGCCGGGCTGCGGCGCGGCGCGGGCGGCCGCCGCGGCGCGGGGAGGGCAGGCCAGCCAGGCGGCCGCGCCGCACGCCGCCGCCGCCGCCGCTGCCAGGAGCAGCAGGCGGCGGCGCAGCTTGGCCCGCTGCTCGGCGGCCAGCAGCCCCTCCACGCTCATGGCGCGCCCATCGATGGCTTCGAAAGCTCGAACAACTCGCAGCGGTGCCCGCCAAACTGGCTGCGCGACCAAGAGGAGTACTTCGCTTGCTGGCACTTAATAGGGCTCAGATCAGAGGGGGGGCAGCTGTGGTCGTCACGAGAAGTGTTGAACAGGCGTTGCAAGATGCCTTTGGGCCTGCAGCATCTGCGCTTGTCCTGAGCCAAATGCCAGCGGTGCGGTATTGGCGTGCGCAGCGCGCTGCAGCTGGGGCAGCGGCGGTCAATGTTGGGGCAGCGGCGGTCAATGTTGGGGAGCGAAGGAACTGAGGGAAGGACAGAACAAAGGGAGGCAACATAGCAATGCTGCCTGCGCGCCTGGCGGGCCGTGGCGATTGCCAGGCGGCGTGCAGGCTGCGGCCACACACGCGGGGC